AAAGGCCTCTCAGTCTACAACGCCACTATGCAAGTAATATTACACCCAAGGAGCTCTCCCAGGAGGTCAAGATAAAGTTGTGAAGAGCTGTGTTATATTATGTTTCACTTGTTGGGTAATAAAAAGTCCCAAACTCTGAACATCCCATGAAGCACCATTAAATCCATCATAACATGGAAACAATATGACACCACTATAAACCTGACAAGAGAAGGCAGTCCCCCAAAACTTAGAGGGGGCAAGAAGGGCATGACATCAGAGATGCAACATAAATCCCAAAGAGAACACTAAAAGGAGCTGCAGAGATGGGATTATCTGTCCATAGGGCCACTTTAGCTGTACACTTCACAGAGTGGGGCTTTATGGCAAAATGGGCAGAAAAAAGTCATTGCCAAAAGAAAAATAATAAATAGGAGTAGACGTTTGGTGTTTGGCAAACAGCATGTTGCAGACGCCCCAAACACATGGAAGAAGGTTCTCTGGTCAGTTGAGACTATAATGTGAGCTTTCCTGCCATCTTGGGAAGCGCTATGTGTGGCATTAACCCAACACTTCACCCTAAGGGGCTTGTTTACACCACGTCCTAAACAGATATGGATCAGATCTGCAAAGGTGGTGTGTTTTTGATGCATTCTGGTGCTTTTTTGGGGGGCTTAAAATGGGCTTTTAGGTGCAGGCCAGTGCGTTTACATGTGGTTTGGTGCGTTCCAGACCAGAACCCAAAAAAGTGCATGTAGCATTTTTTTCCTTGCAACGAAACATACTGCATTGGTGTGAACAGAGCCCAGAAATAGCAGAGGAATCCATTAGGATGCATTTCAGGTGCGAGCAAAAAATGCTCCGGTCCGGACATGCTGTGAACAAGCCCTCAGAACACGATTCCCACAGTGAAGCATGGTGGTGGCAGCATCAGGCTGTTAGGTTGCTGTCCATCAACAGGCACTGGAAAAAAAAAAATCACCAGCAAGGGCCACCCCTAGGCGGTCTTGTATTTTCAACTGAGCATTAAAGTATAGAATTTTGGCGGTGAATGCTTAAGGGTTTCTAAAACCTCAGCTTTTTTGCAAACAGTTAAAAAAAAAACAAAACAAAAACAAAAAAAAAACCCACCACTTTAACAGAGGTTTAAACTTACCTGTGTCTTCCCCACGCTCACCCGTCCGAAAATGTAAAAATTCTCGGGCGGCCGCAAATGATCTTGGTTTGGGCGCACATGTGCAGTTCACATTTTTGTCCGGGACGCGAGGAGGGACGCAAGGTAAGTCTATGGACACGTTCACCCGCATGTAGACACTGTGGGCAAGGAAAATGCCAGCAAGCCCAGAGGAGTCAGCGCTGGATCGGACACCCGCCGCAGAAGAAGATCGGATTAAGAGAAATCCTTTAAGGTAAGTGCTTACATTAACGTTGGGGTGAGGGAAAAAAAAAGTTGCCTTTAATGTCACTTTAACCCCTTCATGACTGAGGCCCTTTTTTCAATTTTTGCACCCATGTTATAACTCAAGATTTTGTTTCTTTTGTCTTTATTTCTGTCACAATAAAAATGACTTGAACCTACAGTGGTAGGCATGTTGTGTATTGAATTGTATCACATGATACAAAACAATAAAACACCAAGGTGCTTCTAGATCTTTAACCCTTTGTTAGGACAGACATTGTTCAAATCTAGTTTACAACTGACAAGACTAGGGCTGCAACAACTAATCGACATAATCGATTATAATCGATTATTGAAAAAGTTGTCAACTTTTTCAATAATCGATTAATCGGCTTCCGATCAGTTGGCCCTGTTCACGGCTCCACACACGCTGCACCTCCTCCCCAAATCACGCTCACCGCTGCCAGACCCGCATCCACGCTTTACACGACGCACCTATCTCAGGCAGACCCTATCTCAGAAGCAAGTTGCTGGAAGACTGCTCAGGTAAGCCTGCACTTTCCCACACATGGTGCTCTATAATGTATTGCAGGGATTTGTAGTCCTCTATAGCTGATGGTACATTGTGCTGTATATTATACATAGGAATACAAATCCCAGCAATACATCATACACTGTATGTATAATGTATTGCTGGGATTTGTTGTACTCTTCTATAGTTGGTGATATTCTGCACTGCGCTGTGTAGAGGACTAAAAATCCCAGCAATAATACATTATACAGCGTCATGCGGAATTCCACCAGCTATAGAGGAGTACAACAAATCCCAGCAATAGTACATTATACAGTGGTGCAATGCCGGATACCACCAGCTATAGAGGACTACAAAACCCAGCAACAGTACATTATACAGCGCAATGCAGAATACCACCAGCTATAATGTACTGTTGCTGGGATTTGTTGTATTCCTCTATAGCTGGTGGTATTCTGCATTGTGCTGTATAATGTATTATAGCTGGGATTTGTAGTCCTCTATAGCCGGTGCCATTCTGCATTCATTGCTGTATAATTTTACACTTTCCATTTCACTATATTGCACACCACACTATTTGTTTTCTTTTTTACTTCCACCACTCGAAGCTTGCTCCTGTGATGGACTGCAATCTCAATACAAACTAGTAGTCCCATCACTGGAGCCATGTTTTAAAATGTATTTTATTGTTTATCCGATTAACCGATTAATCGAACTCAATAATCGGCCAACTAATCGATTTTGAAAATAATCGTTAGCTGCAGCTCTAGACAAGACCTGTCAGCACAGTACAGACAGGGCCTGATTCCAGACAAGGCCATTGCCTCGGGGCAGCACAGCTTGTCAGGGATCCCGGGTGCAGGACGGAGTGTGAACCGATGGTGGCTGGCTCGGCCCCTCTACTATGACAGTGGTGCAGGAAACCAGTGCTTTGTTATGGCTTGTCAGCTGGGAGCCTGATACCGGGCCATGGGCGCTCCGCTTTGAAGTTGGATGTTCCTATCTGATGTGTGTCCATCCTCTCTGCCTCTGTGAAAGCTCTCCCCTCCCCTGTCCTAGAGATGGGACTTACTCACTTACAGGTTCCTCCAGAGCTGCTATACCCGAGGTCCACACAGCGAGGCTGCCTGCCATTAACCCCTCCATCATCACAGGCTACCGTACCCTCTTCTCCACCACAGAATGCCTATTAACCTATTACCACAGACGGTCTTACCTTCTCCTCCACCACAGAATATCTGCCATTACCCTCTTCATTACCACAGGCTGCCTAAAATCCTCCAACACCAGAGGCTACCTGCCATTAACCCCTCCATAACCAGAGCCTGCCTGCAAATAACCCCTCCATAACCAGAGCCTGCCTGCCATTAACCCCTCCATAACCAGAGCCTGCCTGCCATTAACCCCTCCATAACCAGAGGATGCCTGCCATTAACCTCACCATAACCAGAGGATGCCTGCCATTAACCCCTCCATATCTAGAGCCTGCCTGCAAATAACCCCTCCATAACCACAAGCTGCCTGCGATTAACCCCTCCATATTTAGAGGCTGCATGATGCCTTAACATAGCTGCCTAATGGCAACATACAGGCACAGAATACTTTATGTACACAAGCTGCTTCAACATTAACCCCTCCATAACCAGAGCCTGCCTGCCATTAACCCCTCCATAACCAGAGCCTGCCTGCCATTAACCCCTCCATAACCAGAGGATGCCTGCCATTAACCTCACCATAACCAGAGGATGCCTGCCATTAACCCCTCCATATCTAGAGCCTGCCTGCAAATAACCCCTCCATAACCACAAGCTGCCTGCGATTAACCCCTCCATATTTAGAGGCTGCATGATGCCTTAACATAGCTGCCTAATGGCAACATACAGGCACAGAATACTTTATGTACACAAGCTGCTTCATCACAGCCCAGGATAACATACCTACAGGCTGACTTATCACATACTGGAGAAACCCATGCTGCCCTCAGGGCCGGATTCCCTTAAAGGCCACTGTGGCCATAGCCTCAGGGCGGCAGGGAGTAGAGGGGTTGCACGCTTGTCAGTCTATTAAATTGATTCCACCAAATCTCTATCACCTCCGATTAAGGATCTCAACGCCGCAGGTACAGCACGGTCAGCGAGAGGGGCTCCCACCCGACAGTGCCGCCCCTCCACTTCCCGCTCCAACGTTGCACGGAAACATCAGCATCCCCCAGCAGAAGCATAGGGTCGGCACTGCCACAACCCCAAACAGTGCAACACCTCCCCACCACACCCAAACCACCCCACCACCCCCCCCCCCCCTCCCCCCCAAATGACAGCAACATGCCCGCAGCACCAAAATCCTCAACAACCACAGATTTGGCGGGGAGGGGGGCGCATTGGAGAACCTGGTCTTGGGGCAACAAAGAAAGTAAATCCGGCCCCGAGTACAGACCGTGTTTATTTAAGTTAACATTAACCTGCCCGGCCCTCCTCGCATTCCTGAGCATTCTTTCAGACTAGAGCATGTGTTATGTACGCAGCAATGGCGAATGAGCAACATGTAAGAAATATATAATAGTGTATTCCAACGTTTGCAGCCAAATTGGGATGAAACACCCAAGTTCCAACATATTGAGAACCCACAGCACTCGCATAAGTATTGGAATCAAAAGACTGCAGAGGAGGCCATGAAAACTATGGATAACATGAAAGAGGAGACAGATATTAAAGTCATAATAATTACACTTTATCTCCACCTAAAATGGGCAGTTCTCTATACCATGGTAGTTACAGTCAGGTTTTCATCGCTTATACCGTTCCACAGATTGATGAACACTGCAAATTGTTTAAATGCATCCAATGAACGGTTTGACAGACCCAGCAAGCACCTCAGTAATTGGGAGTCAATAATTGAGATCCTCTGGGCATCTGGAAACTGAGGATCAAAACAGTAAAAACTACACAAAGCAATCTGCATATATTGATTCATCCAGGAAGAACAAAAGACTACACACTTTAACAGTGTTACATGCTTGACAGTATTGCATTTTAAAGAATGGATTAATCTTAGCATATATAACTTAAGATCAACAAAATTAAACTGCCGTACCTGAAGGTGCTCCTTTGCTGGCTATGGATCCAGGCATTCCTTGCTCCCGTTGCATCTGTGCAGGAGCTCCTTGCGCATTTTTGTCCCACAAGCTAACATTCTTGTAATTGTAATGGTTAGGATCCCCCCAAGCAGCTGTACCATCATCAATGTCCATTTTACGGTTGGCGGATGACTGTGATGGTTCCTCCCAGCCACTTGGTTCTTCATCCTTGGACACTGCTGGTGTAGGGCCACCCTTCCAACCAGGGGTAGGTGGCTGCCTACCATTTCCAGGAGGTGGAGGAGCTTGTGAACCCCAGGAGCCCGAAGATGGAGCAGACTGTGTAGCTTCTTGCTGCTTATTCCAATTAACTGGAGCCCTGGCTGTGTCCCCCCAGTTACCTCCTCCTTGGGACCTTTTATTCTCTTCCCAGCCAGTTCGAGATGCTGAGTTTGAGTTAGCCCCATTACTCCAAGAGCCAACTTCATTCTGTCCCACATCCCCCCAGCCAGAGGAAGCTTTGTTTCCTGAGCCATCCCAGCCCCCAGGGCCTTTAGCAGGCTCTATGTCCTCACTGTTGCTTCCCCCCCATCCATTTTTTCCAGCAGACCATCCACTCCCAGGCGCAGGCTGCCGAGAACCCCATCCCTGCTCAGAACTTGCACCATTATCATTGTTCCATCCAGGAGCTGGCTTTTCATCCTGTCGTCCTCCAACTCCACCCCCATTACTTCCACCCCCATTACTTCCACCTCCATTACTTCCACCCCCTCCCCAACTAGTCGAGCTATTTTTATAGTCATTCCAGCCAGTTGCTTTGGTGTCCTTCCATTCCTGAACAGATGGAACAGGGGCAGATTCTCCCCAACCAGATTTGTTTTGATTGCTTTGGCTGGGGGCATCCCCCCAGCCCCCTGAGCTCTTTGCTTGTGATGTGTTTTCCCATCCTTCAGTCCCGCGGTCTGCTTTGCCTTCAGATCGAGTTGTCGCTTCTTCACTCTCCCATGCTGCATCCTGCTTTATCTGGGTTTGCCCCCAGCCTGAGTTGGAGAGTACTCGGGGATCTAAGTCTGTTCGATTTAGCAGGGACTGCAAAACAGCTTGGCTGTCTGGGAGAGCAGTCCTATGTGGGCGTCGACTGCCAGAGTTCAGGCTGTCTCCACTGCCCCCAGCCTTAGGATTGCTTCCAGTGCTTTGTCCCCCTGCCTCACTTCCTGCAGAGCTGGGGGCCCGGCCCCAGCAGGACGCTGATGATGCGCTGCCCTGGTTTTCCGATAGTGAGTGGCCCTTCTGATTGTCCCATGCTCCAGTGCTAGAATTTCCTTGGTTCGACCCACTCCATTCTCCAACTTTTAAGTCCTCATGGCCAGATGGCTGCTTCCATTCTCCCTGAGACACCCCTCCAGCCATCATTTTGTTCCCTTCACCCCATTTCGATTCACTGGGATCTGTTTGTGGGCCATATCCCCAAGAACCATTTCCACCACTTTTGCTGTCCCAAGATTCTCCCCTTGACCCATTGGGCCTATGAGATGAAGACACCTTCCTTGCGTCCTCCCTCTCTCGTCCATTATTTCCGGAACTGCTGATCCCACAGTTGGCATCTCCTGGGACAGACTGGCCCCTAGTTGGCCCCCAAGAAGCCACCCCTCCATTTTTTCTATCTCCAGTGCTTTGAGCAGAGGGATCAGAACCCCGGCAAGCATCCCCTGACCCTGCCCCAAAGGCTGTTCCCTTGTTCTCAAGGGGGTTTGAAGTATTTGAGTTCGTAGAGTTAGTGTTTCCATTTTTTGGTCCGTCAGTGTGGTGGGTTGTGGCCGGCTCCCTGCCCGAAGCTGCAAAACCGGCACCCGCATTTTCCATCTTTGACTGCTGCTCCCGAGAGGTCGGACCTGTAGAGCCAAGTTGTGCGCTGGAGAAGCTGCCTTCTGACTCTGGGTTCCCTTTCCTGCTGGCCTCCTGAACCAGGGCCGGCCAGGCAGCTGGATTTGTATTTGGGTTAAAGTTATTGAAACCAGAGGCAGGTCCCGTTCTCTCAGAACCACCCATGCCCCTCCAGTTTCCCAGTCTATTAACTCCCTCTGTAGCAGGGTTGGAAGACGGGACGGGCTTAGCCTTGGGGTCAGCTTTCCATACCCCCGGGATACATTCGTTGCCAGGCTGCTGTTGTTGGCCCTGGCCCCCCCTTCCTTTGTGGTTAGTGGCGCTTCCTTGTAGGGGTCCCTTCTCCGAGGCTGGGTTCGAGGCACTGTTGTTGTCTGTGGCGTTGTCAGAAGGGGGCTCTGCGTCCACACCCGCTATGCAAGGCCATTCTTCCATGTCAGACCCGTCTACAATCACTTTGTCCCAGGTGTGGGGAGGGTTTGTGGTAGGGCCACTGCTGGAGGGGGCTCCTGCACCCCAAGTGGAATTTGCATAATTTGAAGTAGCAGCTGCCCCTGACGATGTATCTGAAATGTGAAGAAAAAACTAATCAGTCAAGAGACAATGTATTATTTAGGTTTCAATAAATTAAAATATTTCCTTAAAGGAGAACTATGAGGGGAGTGCTTTTCACTCATCCTCTTAGTTCTTGCCAACCTGTGACAATGAAACTGTCACAGGTCGGCTCAGTAGATCGGGAGGTGAGCGAACACATACCGGCGTTCGCTCACTTCTCGATCCTGTCACGGCAGAGAGCCGTGCCAGGGGGGGGGCTGGATTCCCCCCCTCCCCGCTCCGATCCTCCAGCGCTGACTGGCGGAACGGACAGGGGAGGGGGCGGGTATAGCTGGCTCTGCCTCTAGATAGGCAGAGCCAGCTGTCACTCACGCAGCTGAGAGAATCCAGACATAATTGTTGGGATCCGTTTCTGCTGCACATCTCAGTTTACCGTGAGCTGTGGCCTGCGGTATACTGAGCTTAGGGTGACGGGAGGGCGCTAATTTGTGTCCTCCCGTTACCCTTAGAACTATGGGGAAAAGCCCTAATCCCATAGTTCTCCTTTAAAGCATATCTTGCAATAGTAACAAACTAAGCATACACACCTAAATTAATGCTATATTGCTATTAGAATTTACTGCACACATTATTGTAACACAGTATCCAAAAAAGTATTAAGAATGTTAACTGCTATCTAAAGCATTTAAAGCTAAAAAAAAAACGGGGGAAAATGATACTTTACACACAGGATTAAGCAATAAGGACTAAAAACAAAAACAACTTATGCTCCTTACAAACAGCAGCTCAGCAACACACAACAAATTGAACAAAGGGGCAAAACTTGGGAGACTTTGCAAATGAAGGGAAGACACAGTATAGAAGATTAAAATGTGCTTTGTGCCTCGGTCTCTATATGAGCAAAAGTGATCTTTTGACACCATGATGTAGAAGAAAAGGCCATACAGATACTGCATATTGTACACCTGAATTTTACCATGACAATGGAGCAGTATCAGAGTTAATAAGATTTATATTGAAAAGTATGTGCTGGTAAGGTTTGTGGGCAAATCAACACTAAGTATTTTTCATGACTGTTGGTCAGTCTGCATATGACCTGGGGTGCAGGATTCTTATCGTCTGACGCCCGGGACAAGCAGTTCCGGGCAGGTATTTTTTTTTGCTACCTTTATCCCTGCTGCGGGTAAGCAGGGCTAAATGTAGAGTAGGGGAGCCGGCACTCCTTTTGTAAAAGTGATCTTGACAGCAGTACAGCCGCCCAGATCACTAGTAGCAGCCTGTTTGCCGCCACGCTCCCTGCCATGGTTTTCGGGGTCCCCCAGCAAATGGCATCAGGATGGAGAACGGGGAGCATTCTGGAAAACGTCCGTTCTTCGATCTGCTCTGTGTGAACAGTGAGACAGAAGCGCTGTACTCACAGCGTCTTCTGTCTCAGCCCAGGCTGCAGAGGAGATCCAGCACAATGCTGTGCTCAACTTTCTGTATTGTCACCGCCAAACGCCATCGCATAGGGGCTTGTTAGCCCCGTGTGATAGCAAAAAGGTTACATGGAAAAAAAAAAGTAAAAACAAATTATTAAATTAATAAAAGTTAAAGCCGCCCCACCATCTGCATGTGAATAAAATGCATGCATAGGGCATTGTGTGCGCGCGCTGAGTGATGACCACATTACACGGTGTGCCTTACTGTGGTAGCCGGGAAGGAGAACTCTCGGACATGCACAATGTGCATTAAAGGGTAAATTCACTTTCACAAGTAATTTGGGAAAATGGAATTACCCGCTCAAATTTGGCTCCCTCTCCCCCCTGCTATAGTTACCTTTCAGTGAATGGTCCTCCCCTCTGCCGGTACGGGTGTACTATTCGTACCCCGTACTGCTGTCCTGTGCCACTCTGCACTATGGATTTTGAATTTTGCTCGCAAATTGCGAGTACTCATTGGTCTGCACAGTCACTTGACCATGCTGACCAATGAGAACTGCTTCTTTGCACAGCTAAATATGGTTTTGGTTAAAATTATTTTTTGCATCACATAAAGTAGATTGTCATGAGGGACAAGTAGATTGGGCCCTCGCTTTAGTCTTTGGACAAAAAAAAATCCACACCCCTGTAATGCTAGATATACTATGTCCAGATGGCTGTTGGGGATGCTAAAAACCTTAGCTGAACTCATGCCAGATACTATTGGCAGATCTGATTTTCTGAGCGCTACTGCTGTGAGTTTCCGGAGCTCATACAGTGAAGAAGAGTTGCTTGTTCTCCCCCTTCATCCACTGATAAGATGTCTTGTATTCTTTTCACAGAATGCAAGGCATTCTTTGATTGGGCAAAGGCAGAATAGGGGTGAATGAATAGGAGAGCCCCCTGTCCTTCTGTTCTGTGAAAAGAATCCTATTTAAATCCCAATTAAATCTTGTGGAGGATTTGAAACAGACAGTTCATACAAGGAAACCCAACCCCTTCAACAAAATTTGCTGGGAGGAATGGTCAACGTCAGGGATGAGTTAATGTTGGAGACTGGGGGGCAGGTGCGCAAACCAAAGCTATTTCTGCTAATGGGGGTAATACCCGCTTCTGAAGCCAAAGGTCTACTTACTTTTCCCACATTACATCTATTGATATTTTTGTTGAATGAATGTTTAAAAAGGTACATTTTCCTTATGTTGTTTTCATGTGTTTTTCCTTTATCTGTAGATACAGTTTAAATAAAGATCTAATGTTTGTCTGTTCAAATATGTTAACATTTTTTTCCATGGGATGTCCTTGCTTTTTCCTATGACTGTATACATGAAATCATCTGTGAAGTTGATCTATTAATGTAGCACAAATGTAACATCTAATTGAATTACAGTTCATGTCATCTTGTTAGTGAAGTGGTGAAGGGTTTATAAATAAAAGTGCATATGCATCTGCACACAATCATTCAATAATTACAATTCACGAGCCTCATGATCAGACTGATATTGATTTGGGTATCTAACTGAAGGATTAAAGCTAAGTTTGTGGACATACATAAGAAGTCTGCAGATGTCTGGAGTGAAGTCTTGCACACTTCAAGGCTTACCCCTCAAGAGGCCTCAATTTGTACAAGAGATTCTTCCAGCCTGAAAAGCTATTCCAGAACATCGTGTACACTGCTTGCTTCCTGCAGAAAGGAACCTTTGTGTTTTGCAGAAATCCTGACACACACACACAGAACTAGTACTACTTAATACCTAACTTGATGCTTAAAAGAAGAACTATGGGGGTCAGTGTTTTTCCCCATAGTTCTCCTTAGGGTAACGGGAGGACACAAACTAGCGTCCTCCCGTTACCCTAAGCTCAGTATACCACGAGCTGTAGCGAGACGCCGCAGCCGGAGTGGATCCCGACGTAGATGACGGGATCCGCCCAGCTGCGTGAGTGACAGCTGGCTTTGCCTATCTAGAGGCAGAGCCAGCTGTACCCGCCCCCTCCCCCGTCCGTTCCGCCAGTCAGTGCTGGCAGATCGGAGCGGGAGAGGGGAATCCAGCCCTCCCCCTGTCACGGCAGAGTTACGATTGTTCACTAATCTCTAACGCTGGACACACACCTTACAACCATCGCAAGACACTTGTCTTGCGATGGTTGTAAGGTAATTAAAAAAACGTACGATCTGCCTATCTTGAGGGGCGGGCTTTCCGATGACCGCAATGCTGAGCGGGCCGTGTGCGCTTGCGCACACCGGCCCGTTCGGCTTTTACCTTACGAACATGCGACACACCCGCTGACAATCGTACGATTCTCGGCGGGTTTTCTAACATGTTCCTAAGATAAAAGTCGTGCGACCTTCCAGTAGCAGAGGTCGCACAGCTCCCACACACCTTACGATAATCGTACGATCGCGGGATTTCCCGCGATTATCATACTATTATCCTAAGGTGTGTGGCCACCTTAAGGCTTATAACACTACAAAAGATATCTGCAGAGGGCATCTCTTACAGGAAAATAAAACTACTACTAATAAAATATCTATTCTACATTTCTTTAAGATCACATGATAAAGATGATGAATATTTTGTTTATGTAATTAACTAAAAATTTACATATATATTGTAGGTTACTGTGTACTATTTGTAATTAGAAATATTTATGTGTATATTATTTTGGTTAATCTTTGATGTCTGTATATAAGGAACCCTTTCCCCATCTCTATGTTTAAAGCAACATTAAACCTTCGTTTTTTTTTTAATGGTGGCCAGACTTATTAAAAAAAACAAACAGAAGGGGTTAAGGCACCCGTACTTGCACTGTCACGGATGTGCCCGCACCTAGTTGTGTGCATCCACAGACAGACACACAGACAGCGTGCGGCCAGCCATGCCTCCACTCTTGCAGACATTACATTACTGCAAGCAGAAGGAGCCTATGGCTCCTCTGCTCTCATTACCCTACCCCGCAACCAGGAAGTTCGGGGAAACCAGAGCATCTTCCCAGTCACAACAGAGGAGGTGTGTGTGTGTGTGTGTAGGGCTGTAGCTACCATGGGGCGAGTGAGGCACCTTTGCCAAGGTGAGCACAGGACGCCATTGGCAACAGAGGCGCCAGGCAGCCAACACAGCTGCGGCTCAGCAGAGAGAAGAAGAGCGGCACCGGCTCCAGCTTCTCCTCGGATCCCCGTTTCTCTCCCCCACCTGTATGGGCAGTGGACACGCGAGGGGGGGGGGGGGGGGGGGCACAATTTTCTGGAGGGGGCACAATTTTCTGTTCTTGCCTCAGGCGCAAAAGGAGCTAGCTACGGGTGCGTGCGTGCGAATACTACTTTAAGCCAATACAGGTGAAACAAGTCACAAGGGTGGGGACTGCAGCATGTACTCTGTCTCGCTAAACATGGATTTAACCACTTGAAGTCCGCGGTGTTAAACCCCCTTTCTGGCCAGGCAATTTTTCAGTATTTAGCGTGCGGTACTTTGACTGACATTTATTCCGTCATGCAACGCTGTACTGAAATAATTTTTATAACCTTTTTTGGGGACAGATAGAGCTTTCTTTTG